GAATACAGTATTGCATAGATTAGATCAATATATTACATGAATTTAAAAATGGAAGATTGAGAATAAACCAAAGACATCAGACATCTTGTGTACGTGAGAAAAACAAATCTAACTTACTGTAAAAGTTGTAACTTGTAATAAAATATAATTGTAGTTTGTAGCCTTTTCTGCTGAAAAAATATATTACAAAACTGTTCAATGTGTTTACTAAACAGTAACCCACCGAGCTCGGTAGTGTTCTAATACGATCCAAACTCCTATTACTTTTTAAAGCTAATAATATTATTTCGCTACAAATTATACTAAATTTTAAAAGCTTTGTTTTTACGTATTAAAACAGAGAACTGCACACAAATTTTAACACAGGTTAACCTGCCATTATTAGGTGAGGTGCACTGAACATAATATCATCAATATCTCAGTCATGGTGACAGAGAGATATTTAAATATAAAAACTAGATGTATTTGCGCAGGGTCCCCGAAAGTGTTCTGTTTCAAGAGTAAATAAAACCAAAATTACTTCATGCTTTTGAAGTTCATATGTCATGCTGTGTTGTAGCCCACAGAGTGCATAATTCGTCTCGTGATTCATGGAATGCGAACGTTTTAGTGACGTCAGACAGTACAAAATGCAACGTTAAGCGTCCCTTATGTGACGTCATTTTAGTGTCTACTGACTGACTGACTGTCAGATAACGAACTACTGTATAGTGATGCGAGTGGTTAAAATAGGTGACTCCTCCAGGCGGCTTTCGGGGAATAAATATAACTGTACACCTGTATATTTGTTAAGATTTAGCTTCCGCCCCCCAGTAGCACAGCGGTATGTGTGCGGACTTACAACGCTAGAATTCGGGTTTCGATACCCGTGGTGGGCAGAGCACAGATAGCCCAATGTGTAGCTTTGTGCTTAACTTCAAACAAAAAAAATTAAGTTTCCCTTTATTTTGTTTTCTTTTCGTCAGTTGATTTTGTCTTCTACCAAGAACCTTGACCATGAAGTAATAAAAATAATGATCGTAATTTAACACCTATTCAAAAACATGAAGGTAAGCTTTTAACTGATATTTCAGTCGCGTTGAACGATGTCGATTAGTTTTCTAAGGTACTCACTCGTGCACTGTTTGCAGTTATTGTGATACATACGTTATGCACAAATACTACAATATTTATGTTTCATGTCATTCGAAATAAAAGGGTTTTCTATTATTTCAATTTGGAAAATAACAAACCAACGCTTTTTTTCCTTTTGTTTTTCTCATTCAAACTTAGGTGCTACTTTTTGCACAGGATTTGGTCAAGCAGGATATTTACTCTTTCATGAAATAGTTGTATGTTATTCTACATTACTTGTGTATGAGGAACAACTTTACTATCACCTGTAGCAGAGATGCATCCAGACACTGGTGATCCAATTTCATGATTCGTTAGCTTTAATGAGAATATGATTCATTAAAACAGTTTCCATACAGATTTATTTCCGTTGTTGAGAAAGATAGGACTCATTGTACAAAGCTTATCCGTTTAGTCTACGTAACGCTTCTCTTTGATTACTCAGTTTGATGGGCGTTTATGTACTTTTTTTTAGTTAATCAAGCAAAGCACTTTCTCAGAGTTCACTTTCTTTTTTTAACTTTATTTTATTAAGTATAATTGATCTCATATATTTTTATACCTAAACGCTTCTTTAAAGTGAATTTACGCAGTGTTCAAAATATCACCTGAGTTTTTCTATAGACGTTTCTTGCCTTTTTTGTTGTGGTTTAGAAGTGGAGTTTTGGACTCCTTGGGAGAATAGAACAGGGAATTTGCAGAGTA